TAATAACACTGAGAAGAGAAAAAAAAGAATAAATATAATTTTCGTCATAATCCTTTCCTCATCATCAATTTTTTTTGCTGAAAATAATACAGTGTAACAGTTAAAAGAAAAAGATTATTAATAAATTTAAGTGTAATGAAAAAAAATTTGAAGTTTTAAAAAAATGAAACATTTTCTTATTTTGACTTTTTTTTTTCTATAAATTACAAAAATGAAAAAAAAACCATTGTAAATTAACAAATAATTTTTGTCAAAAAATTGGACACTGCTAAACATTCACTAACTGAAACTTATTGTCAATTTCAACAGCAGATTTTTTTTTTAATGTAAACCTTTAGCTATAAAACTATAAATTTGCTGTTTAACATTATTGATAAAGGTTTTAAAGATTACATAAAACTTTAGCATTATAAAATAAATTATTATTTTGTCAAAAGAAGAAAAAAAGAGAAGAAAAAAAAAAAGAAAATTCTTCATATTTCTTAAAAGTTCGTTCACCGTTACTGTAATGTTGCACTAAATTTACAAACACCAAATAACTTAATGCCACCAACAATCTACCAACAATTTTTTTTTTGTTTTTTTCAGATTGAAGCTTCTAAAAAAAATTAATAAATTTTTTTTTTTAACTTATAGTATACAAATTTTAGCAGAAATCTCTCTTTCAAATTTAGCTATTATAACTGTTTGAAAAGTTTACTATCTTAAAAGCATATTTTGTAGAGTGTTGGCAAGACAATTAAACTAATCATTATCGTCACCAGCATACAAAAAAAAAGAAAAAAAAGAATAAAATACAGTAAAAAATAAAATAAAAGTACAAAAAAAACGCTTAAACTACGCTTTTTTTCAATAGGCTATACATGACAAAATAAGTGATTAGATGAATGCAAAAAATGATTGAATTGATAATCACTGATACAGTTTTCAGATGTGTGTGTTTCCGTCAAATAATATAGCATAATTTTCAGTGCTTTTTTTGTTGTTTCGATGATATTAACCTTCCGTATCACCAGTGATCATAAGTTAGACTCTTCGAGCTTTTATGGTCAGCATCGAAAGTCTGTAAAAAAAAAAAAATAGAAATAAAAATACAGAGCAAAAGAAGAAAATAGAACAATAATTCAGTTTTTTTTAAAAACCATCTCGTTCAAAAGTTGTCAAAAACAGTGTTGAAAAACAGAAATTTACCTGTTCAAATCAGTTGTTATTGTATCGTGTATAACATTCGAGGGTAAAACAAATTTTCGTCTAAAAATTTTGTCAATAGAATTTTTTTCGTCCAGTTGAACAGTCGAACATGCTCGAACAGTTAAGGAGTTCGCTGAAGTGATTATCTGGAACAAAACCAACTTCTATGTCTTGTTAACCATTGCAAGCAATTTAGCTTGACCAGTGCTTAGATTGATTAATTAGAGATTAGATCCTTGTTAGATTAGGTAGATAAAACAGATGCAAAAGCAGTAGCTACTCAAAATGTTGCTGAAAAATTTCAAATTGTTCAAATTGTTTCGACTACATTGATCAATTTTTTATTCAGCTATTGAGGTGGAACTGTAGATTTATGACTTGTAAATTCTTTACTCTTTTTTAACTTCAATAAAGTAATTAAATTTTTATAGAACAATTTTTTTTTGTTTGTTATTTACACTCAAATCGTATTGACAAATGTTAAATTTCATCTGATACCTATTGAACAGAATTTACTTCAAACTAACAGCGTTCAAAACTTGGAATTTATGGTTTCACTTTATTGCTTAAAGTATGCAACACGCATACAGAAAAAAAGCACATTAAAGTATCAGTTTAAAATGTGAAATGCCAAAAATAAATTTAAAAAAAAGAGTGCTTTAAAATTTTTTACCAAACTTAAGGAAAAAAAAACTACGTAAACCGCAAAGTTTTACCATTTAATGCAACCTATTTGACCAAATATTCGTTTATTACTTTTATCATCAGTTGTTACAGATTTCAATAATTTCGTTTTTGCAATTTTTTCTTGATCGTTATTTTTCTTTTTCGATGACTATACGTCATTTTCCTTTCTTCAACATAGAATATTTTAAAATTTGTTGTTAACTTTGATGTAATAATGTACCAAATTGATGAATAATGCTGCCCTGTAATCGATGATTGATAAAGAATCAAAATACTGCCATTTTGAAGCGTAATAAAATTAAATAACAAAATTTCTGAAAAAAAAAACCTCTCAAAAAGTGAACATTTGAAACATTTATTTAATTTGTCGACAGAAATAATAAAACCACTTAATATGTATAGAAAATTTGAAACAAAAATCTGAAAAAAAAACACATACTACTTCAAATACAGTGCTTTGCTCTTTATAAAGTTACAGATTTTTCAACTGCAAACTGTACTGAAAAAAATATGACGATTAAATTTTTTTTCAATACATTTATCTGCTTATCATCTGAAATTAATTACGATTAAACGAACATTTTTAGTCAAAGAAATTTTTATCACTTGAAAAGTTAGTACATTTATTGTTAAACGTAACCCATCTATCCGAAATTTGAAATACATTTGTTCGAATCATTGTTTTCTACTGAAGATTTACTAAATCTGAGATTGAATTTCACCAAATTCTGATGTTTTTAATTTATTGGTATTCTGCAACTAGTTTTTAAAATTTCTTATAAATTCTTTCTTTTTTCTTCTTAAAAACAATAAATTCTATCATTCTGTCATTTTTGGGTAAAAATGCTGCAATTTTTCTTTTATTCAAAACTTATTCTGCTCAATCTTTTTGACGTTTTTTGACAGAATTATGAAATAAAAAAAGAATATTACTAAAAAGATGCTAACAGCAAGAAGAAAAAAAACTTCTTGGCTATATTAAGTGCTTTTTTCACTTTTATCGGCAAATCTTTATTGCTGACGTTTTACTATAACATTTTTTTATTGCAACTTTCCGCTTTTTTACTAAAGTTTAATTTTTTTCAACATAAATTTTGAAAGACCTTATATTAAAAGTCTCAAATGATATGTTTCTTACAACTATAAGATCAAAAGAAAACCTGAAAAATTGTTTATAATACTTGACAAAATAATAAATAAACTTTTTCAATGTTGTCCTCACCTCAATTTCTTCAGGAGCAAAGCCTCTCATATCAACAAATATTGTGACCTCCTTGCCTTCGTAAATTACCTAAAATATTAACCTTTAGATTATTTTACTGGTAGTTTTAGTGTATATTCTTCTGTAAGATTATTGCTCTAAAAATACGTCGCATCAGTGATGCTACAAGTTTAGACGTTGATTGATGTAAATTTGATAAAATACAAAATGTTTGATAGATGAAGTTTATGAACAACTGCAAAGGTTTTATGTTCAAATTTGATGGTCCTGAAGAAAGCAAAAAAGATGGATGAACAGTAGCAACTTTGGACGGTGAAGTTCGAACTCGTGCAAGTTGTTCGTCCAATTTCCGAACAGACTCAGCCAAGTCAAATGAAGGCTTATTTCTTTTCCAGTCACCGGAATCAATACCTCCATTTCCACTGGAGAATCTGTCGTAATAGTTCGACGTCAACATTGTAAAAGTCGTTCTGCAACAAAAGTTGACTGTAGTCATGTTAGCAGACGAAAAGAATACAGTTTTATCGAGCGTAAAACAAGCGCTAATTTGACGATCAGTAGTAAGGTGTCAAAAGCTAGAATAGATCACGATTTTGATTCTCTTCTTTTTTTTTTTCTACTGTCTACTCTTCTAAAAAAGAAAAGAAACCACTTTTTGTTCTAAGATATTTACTTAACTGTGATGTTGCTAGTACAATAAAGATTAAAACGAGTTAGAAGAAGAGTCTTTTGAACTGTAGTGAATAGAGCGACTGAAAAAAAAGAAGAATTGAAATAAAAGAAGAAAAAGAGAGTGAATGATATTTGAAGATTTTGTAATATCCGTTTGTAAAAGTGTAAATCATTACTATCAAAACATCATTTTTTTTTGTTTTTTTTTGTTTTTTGCCATTGTCAGTGGTTTTTAAGAGTTAATTAAAAAATGCTCAAATTGGTCAACAAATTCTTTTTTGTTTCTTTTGACATCTTAGTGTTTCTTAAGTGTGCCCACAAAACAGCTTCATAATTTAGGTGTCTGCAAAACAATGACCACTTCTAATTATTGAACAAAAAATTGTTAACAACAAAAGAATGCTTTTTTTTTTCAGAAAATTAGAGATTTTATTAGCTAAGAACAAAAAGAAAAAGAAGCAAAAGAAAAATTGTTGCTGTTAACGTTTCACAGTTCAAGTGAAGTTCATTTACAAATAAGAAAGAAATGCAGAGTTAAAGTAATAGTATTGAAAAGAATATGACTGTAAATTATAGTGAAATTCTCCTAGAAAATTTATTATGACTTAAAAACCTATTGGATTCTATGGTAAAATCTAATTTTCAAACATTACTGCATGCTGCGAGATGACTAAACCAGCTGCAAGAGAGGGTTTCTCTCCTAGAGATTGTTGAAAGAGAACTAAATCAATGGACATCTGTAGCCAAACATTCATGGATGTTTGGTATTATGAGAAACGTGTATTTGCACTGAAGATGGCGACGACGACGACGACGACGACGACGACGACGAAGATAATGGTGCTAAAGATGAGTGTTGACTGAAATGAAGGCGGTGACGACGGCGTTGTTGATGATAAAACAACCATAGTGAGTTACCGGTTAAAAAAACCTTACTTTTTCTTGTCTCTTCAATTGTTTACAAAGAAAACGAAAATGCCATTAATTGCAAAATTTCTTTTTTTCAAATAATGAATAAGTTTACAAGCAAATGTTACTTGTTTTGGCAGATAAAAAAAAAAAGAAAAAAAAAGAGAAAAAAAAAAGCAGCAAAAAATATTTACGTACAGTTTTAGCATTAGTAAATTTGAATGTGAATTTAAATTCAAGAAACTGTAAACAAAATTTGTTGAGAGAGAAAACGATTGAAAATTGTTTTTGGTAAGCAAAAACTGTTTTGTCTTTTTTTTTACAAAAGTTTGAAATGTTTTTACTCCTTTTTTGCTCATTCTATGCTGTTAATTTCGTCGTCAATAAGTAAACTGTTATAGACATTTGTCGTGCTGTAACGATTTCAGTATCCACTGATCGGTACGGTCAGATACTCAGTTTAGCTATCGCTGGTTTACTTCTTCTCAGATACTCAGCATTTCCTGGTTATTTCTGTTTGCCGTATTTCTGCTTTTTTTTTTTCATTTATTTTATTTCTCTCTCTTTTCACTGTTTTTGTTTTTAAATTTGCCAAAAAAATTCTGAATAAGATAATGTCAAACAAATATTTTGTTTAACTGGCAAAAAATAAATCTTATTTTATTAATTTCTTACGTTATATTAGTTAACTTTTTTTTTTGGTATTATATCTGTGATGTTCAAAGAAACTTTTAACAGACTTATTGTATCACAAATGATAAACAATAGAAAATTGAAGCTGTATAAGGCATTCGCTAAAAATTGCTGATTTTTAAATGCTGCAAATTCATTTATTTGCAAAAAAAAAAAAAAA